AATATTTAAAGGATGAAGGTATTGTTGCTCGGTATACTATGCTAGGTTCATCTTACCAAAAGGGTGTGGCTGAAAGGCGAAATTACACCCTTATAGACATGGTAAAAAGTGTGCTAAACAATTCTAATCTTCCTTTGTTTTTTGTGGAGTGAAGCCTTGAAGACAACAGTGTATATCTTAAATAGGGTTCCCACTAAAGCCGTTTTCAAAACTCCATTTGAAGTATGAAAAATGATGGAAACCCAGTTCAAGACATTTTCACATATGGGGTTGTCTAGTTGAGGTTAAGATTTATAATCCACCAGTCGGATATTTCATTGGCTATGCAAAAAAAGTCTAAAGGTTATAAATTTTATTGTCCATCACACACACCTAGAATTGTTGAGGCCAGAAATGTAAAATTTATTGAGGGTGTTGACATTAGTGAGAGTATTCCTCAAAATATTAAGTGGGAAAAATCACGGGATTCAAATACCATATCCGTGAATAAAGATAAAATGGTTATTATTCAGGATAATCCAGATGATATTCAAGTACCACCACTACAAGAGGAACAAGTCAACATAGAGTTTACAGTTCCAAACACACAAAATATGAATGAGAGTGTAGAACTAAGGAAATCCTCAAAGGTAAAAAGACCAGTTATTTTTTATGATTACTTTATGTACCTATTGGAGTCTGACTTTGATGTTGGACATAAGGATGATCCTATCTCGTTTTCACATACTATAAGTGAAGAAAATTCCATATTTTGGTACGAGGCCATGAAAGAAGGGATGAAGTCCATGACTAAAAATCAAGTTTGAAAAATTGTTGAGTTACCTAATGGAGTCAAGGCCATTGGTTGTAAGTGGGTCTATAAAACCAAGAAGACTCAAATGATAATGTTGAACAATATAAGGCCAAACTTAAAGCTAAGACTTCACTCAAAGAGAAGGCATTGACTATCACAATACCTTCTCTCCAATTTTTCTAAAAATGACTCATTTAGGATTATCATGGCATTAGTAGCTTATTTCGATTTACACTTACATTAAATGGATGTGAAAACAACATTTTTAAATGGGGATCTTGACGAAGAAGTGTACATGAAACAATCTGAAGGATTTTGTTCTGATGAAAATAGTCACCTGGTTTGCAAGCTAAAGATATTCATATATTCAGTATCAAAATTTTGGGTACTCAAATTGTCTGAAGTGTTGATGAGTGCATGAAAGTGCATTCTAATACCCTATTATTGAATTAAAATGCTAAAATGTGAATAAAAATAATTAGATATAATTATTATTATTGAATTTAATATCTTTTCACACTGAGATATATTTGAGCATGATTTTATAATATTTAAATCTTAAATATTTCATTATTGATTAGTGAGAGATAATTTATAATTGAGTTTTATACTTAATATTTTTGGGATTTTATTATTCGAATTTTATATTTATTTTTATTTTGATGGCAGCCAATGGAACAAAAGGTTGAAACTGATATAACTTTCACATGGATCCAACACTCATAATTTTTATTGGACTTTATTTTTCTTAAATTACACAAGATTTAGACTTTATGGGCTAAAGTAAAACGGTTTGAATCAAAAGAGACCGGAATAGATATGCAGGAATAAAGAGGGTAGAAAATGTATTTTATCAAAAATAGATTGACTTTTGACATATTCTTTGTCCTGCGTGTGTGGCGGCTGTTTTTTATTATTCTTTTCCTGGGTGTGGCGACTGTAAGAAGAAGAAAAACAGAGAAGTGGACGTAGTTCAGATCAGGAAAGAATGTCGATGGCTGCTATTTTCCTCTATTTCTTTGAAAATTTTTTATTGTCCATGGTATTTATGGATAACTAAATTCTCAAGTAAAGTGAGAGATCAACTTGTACAGTAGATGAAATTTTATTTATTTTTAATATATGTATTTAATTTTTAATTAATACAACTCTTTTATTTTATCATTCTCAATTTATTATTGATATTTTTTTTCGAATAATTATAAAATTTATTTTGTTTATGAATTTAGTAATATTTTTTCTATTGAATGGATTAGTTTTTTTTTATTATATTTGGATCAATTATTTATCAATATTGATTTAATTCTTTGCTGTAATATTACTTCTTGAGTATATTGTTGTCGTTGAATTTTCTCAATAGTGATAATAATTTACGTATTTTAAAAGTGGTGAATGATTTTTCAAAGGGTTACATTTGATTTAATATTAGTTTATAAATCTATATATTCTGGTTGAAAATTTTAGGAATTAAATTCTCAATTGAGTTATTTACTGAATTAAAAATAATTAAAATATCAGATTTGTGCAAGAGATTCTCGACGTTTTAGTGTTTGTTAAATTTGAATACTTTTTCCGTTAGTCACTTTGCTTCATTTTAAATTATATTTAAAATTAATTTTCATTCTTTAGTAATCATTTAATATATTTATTTAATTCCTTTGTTCCTTCTATTATTTTTTTAATTTGTCTCTCTGTGAAATCGACACCATAAAACTGTGCTATAACTGCTGCGTTATTCTTTGGACATAATCATGTGTTATGTGTGCCAAGTGGGAGAATGTTATATTTTATGTCTAATTAATTTTGGACTCTATATCTAATTAGAGACTTAAGATGACCCACACATCATGTCATCTTTTTAATAAATAAATATTATGTATATTTAATATACATCTTATTTACTGAGTCAAAATTTTTTGGGTAATTGACGTTAATGTAATTATCCACTACTCTCATCATCAGATGAAGTGACCATCATGAAATAGTTCAAAACAGTTGTAACTCTTTGATGGAAGAACATTACTTGCAATTTCTCTATTAGATAAGGGTCTCTACCTATATATAATTTCATATCTGTGATTTTCCATCAAGTCATATGAGATTCAGATATCATATACGTAGGCAGTAAACTCTAGTCTTATATACCTTCATACAATACATATTTGTGAGGTTATTATTGAGTGTTCTTCTTAAGTGTTGAGATCAAGGTTGTAATACGAATTCGTGCTTGTTGGAGTCGTTAGGTTCGTTGATTATTCTTTCTATAGAAAATTTAGATTTCTTGTTCTCGAACTTGAATATCAATGACATGAGGTAAGTATTCAATTCCGCTAAGTAAAAGATAAGAAGATTAAATTATTCAATAAAATCTATCAATTGGTATCAGAGTCATTCTTATATCCATTTTGTTCACTTATTATGATTATAAGAAATCATATTTTGTCTGCAATTCTTCTATTGTATGTTTGATGAGATATTTTGTCTCCTCTAAAGCATGTGGACTTAAATATGATTGGAATTCGCACAAATATGTACCACATAAACATGTCTTCTGTTGATATATTAAGTCCACGCAAAAAATATTAAGATAATCAAAACAAAAACATCAATGCTTGGGTGTTGGGACGACATTAAGCAGCTGATCAACCCAGCAAGTTTAACAACCTGCACAAAGGCAATAAGACGATCGACGTGACAGGCACATGCCAATCGTTTCATGGGACGCAACATAATCTTCGTATTTTTGTGACACCACTGTCAATGTTGCTTACTGTCTTTTGAATTGATGTTGATCTAAGCTAATAAAACAAATTTTTAGGTACCATGATTTCAAGCAGCCATTTCATCATTGTCATTTTACATATAGCACGTATTAAAAGTAATTTTTTGGTATTAAATTAAAAATTTATTACAAAATAAGCATAAAACTACGAACTGAATCATAATGTTATAACAAATGAACTTGTTTGGAGATTAAAACTACAAAATCGATCATGGGATGCATCATAATATTTTAGAATCAATTCTAGTATACCTAGTTGTGATTACACTTTATTGAATTGCATTTGCCATTAGAAATTATTTAGATATTGTGCTTCTTTGATTGCGCGGTGAAGGTAGTATTTATCTTCTTCATACAATTTGATGAACCCAGACAAAAAACGTGAGCGCCTTGTGAATTAGCTGCCAGTCTTTGAGGTCGCCTTCATTGCTTGACCATATAACCTGCGGGTGAAATACTAGATGACAGATTATACATGAGAATGATAATGGTGAGGTCATTGAATGTGATCACTATAAACCTGTAAAAATCAATCATCCTCAATTTGGAAAGCTGAAAATTAGAAATGAAATATTCCTCAAATTTAGCAAGGTAGAAAGTGAAATAATGTTCCTCAATTTGGCATTATTCGAGTTTATGTTATAGATAATAATATATAGAAATTTATATTTAAGTGGGAATTATTTATGAATTACTAGTATTAAATTATGACAAAAATTAGAATAGATCATTTAAAAAGAAGAGTAATACTATGAAGTCCTAAAAATCTGACTTATTGATATTGTTTTGATTGCAATTATTAGATTAATACAAAATTTTAATGTCTTAATGGAATCCACAGTCAGTCTAATGATTATAATGAATTAGAGGTCAACAAATTAAATTAATAAATTATGTCTCAATAGTATTGTTCTAAAAAGAATCCCAATTAACGCAAAAGATTGCTCAAGTAGTAAGAGGGAAAAAGTGTAAATTCAAACTTTTTAAATTTAAATATTGACAATCTTTTAGGGCCTGACCATAAAAATTTATCGAATATCCTAGTCGTGCATGGCCTGACTTTACTTTGACTAAATCAAATAAGAAATTAGTTAAAGCGTGTATAAATAAGTCCAATCACCTCTAATCGTTGCAAAAAAGAAAAAATGGAGAATCCCAAATGTACAAATTAGAAAATTGAGACAAATAATTTAAAAGAAGAGTTCAAATGATAAAAGGGATGAGTAATAAATTTATATTTTTTGAAATTAAATCTTGATAACTCTTTAGAATTAAACTATAAAGTTATTCTCATAAATATCCTTATCTCAATATAAATGAATTATTTTTGATCGGACTAAAAAACAAATTAGCCGGCGAAACTGCTTCACCCCTTACCGTTTAAAAAACAAAAAAAGAATAGTTGAGACATATTCCTTGTAAAGTGGATACGTAGGTTACTTCCCGCCAAACCTCAAAACCCTAGCCTCCATTCTTTCCTCTCCTTGAACAGTTAACCACCCCGCACCCCCCCTGTCTCCCTCTCTCCACCAATACCTCCTAACCCTAGACATGGAACCTCGGGCAGTGAAATCAAACCTAGTCCTGATCTTAGACTACGGTTCCCAATACACCCACCTCATCACACGCCGTATCCGAAGCCTCTCAGTCTTCTCACTCTGCATCTCCGGCACATCCTCTCTCAAATCCATCACCGACCTAGACCCAACTGTGATTATCCTCTCCGGTGGTCCACACTCCGTCCACGCCGCGAACGCTCCTTGTTTCCCTACTGGGTTCGTCGAGTACGTCGAGTCCAAGGGCGTGTATGTTTTGGGCATATGCTATGGATTACAATTGATTGTGGAGAGACTTGGCGGTGAAGTGAGGGTTGGTGAGGAACAGGAGTATGGGAGGATGGAAATTGAGGTTGAGAAGTCCTGTGGTTTGTTTGCGAACAAAGAGGTTGGTGCTAGGCAGGTTGTGTGGATGAGTCACGGTGATGAGGCTAAGAAGTTGCCGGATGGGTTTGAAGTGGTGGCTAGGAGTCAGCAGGGTTCGGTGGCTGCGTTGGAGAATCGAGCAAGAAGGTTTTATGGGCTTCAGTATCATCCTGAGGTAATTTGATTTGAATAAATTGATTTGTTGGGTTTTGTGGTTTAGTTTGTTTTGGTTGTATTAAAGTTTGGTTCTTTTGTGAGTTGAATGATGCATTGTAGAGAAAAGGGTTTTTTTGTTCTTTTTCTATGGGTAAGTAAGAAAAATGGGTTTTGATGATGCACAAATTTGTATTGTGCAAGATCCACAGTCGAGTATTTGTAAGGGTGTAATTAATGAGCAATAAATAGACAATCAATGACAAAACAATGAATAATAGCAAACACACAAATTTATAGTAGTTTGATTTGAGTGACTTACTCCACTCTCGAGAACGACCGCGGTGACCGGAGATCTTTATTGATAAATAAAATTCACCGGAAGAGTGTACTCTGGGTGAATTACAATTTCTTGGGAGAGAGAGACTTAATGTGTAGAGAGGTGTGTGTGATGTAGAAGTCTCAAGGTCATAAAATGATGTCCTCTATGTGAATAGGGCTTACATTATATAGGTTTAGTAATACAATGAGGCGGTGACGTGAGGGAGATGACTTCTACTATTTTGGTAAGTACGAATAAGGTAAGATTAGATCTCCGAGCGTATCTCGATATTCTCTCCCTCGTGCTCCTATTCCGTCGGAGGAAGATTCTGAGTTGAGTTGGACTTGAGTTGGAATGGACTGGACTTGAGTTGGAGTGACAAAGAGAAGAGGGCAAAGGGGAGGCAGGAAGACCAACACCTGGGTGGTGCCTAGGCCTTGGGCGGCGCCAAAGGGCTTGGATGCCCCTTGGGCGGCGCCCCTTGATGACTTGGTCTTCCTTTCGGGGTCCGGTGATGTGGGCCCTTCTTAATTCATTGGGCTTGACCTAGTTGATTTTGGGCTCATTATTTGTCCCCCATGCTCCAAATTCTTGTTGTGTCAAAGATTTTGAGGGCATGAGAGAGCTCTCATTCCTTGTTCTCCATGGTGTCTCTAGTCTTCAACTTTCCATTCCTGTTGGGTGGATACATGGGAGATTCTATGGATGACCCATGAATTCCTTGAAGGCAAGGCATGAAGGCATCCTTGCCCACGGTCATGTAGTTGTGGTGATTGATATTGGAGCATTTTTTTTTGGAGATTTGACAACTTAGTTGATGGAGGCACCAGGTGCATGGAAGATAGCTTGGGCAGTGCTAAGGCGCAAGGTGATCAAGTTGACAGCTGGGCGAGGGCACTGGCTGGGATCAGCGAGGGCCTTGACTATCCTGGGCAAGGGCCCTTGGGCGCCTGCTGGCCTACCCCCCCTCCCTTTTTTTTTCTCCTTAGGCAACGCCTCTTTTTTTTTTCTTGGGCGACACCCAGGAGGAGACTAGGCGGTGGCTAGAGTATCAAAAAATCAACAAAACTTTGATCGGCCATAACTTTGCGCTCGGTTGTCTGTTTGAGGCAATTTTTTTTTTTGAATTTGGGTATTTTTTCTAGATCTATGACATGCAAACAGTCGAAAGCGGTTTGGTCAATAAATTTTCTAAAAAATGCTTCTATCTCTCTGTATTTGAGTTTTAAAAACAAATTAGTGAAATCAACGGTGATGGGAAAGCTGCATTCTGGCAAGCAGCTATCAGGCATTCTTGGGCGACGGTGGAGGCTGTCGTGGGTGCCACTTGGAGGCAGGTAGGGTGCTTTGAGTGACGCCAGGAGGCCTTGGGCGTTTCTGCGTTTGGGCAACGCCTTAAGTCTTACTATTGGCAACGCCTCTCTAATGCTTGGTAACTAAATGACCTTGTCTCTAATTATAAGTGTTTTGTTGATCTAGAGATTCTCTCTGCTTTTAGGGTGGTGCCTTTTCCTCCTTTTAAGAGGACGAGGTTTGATGCCCCCAGTGCTTTTCGGTCAAGGTCTGATGGCTATGTTGCTTCTTGGGAGATGGGACCCGGTGGTACTCCCATTCCCCAAACTAGGACTTCGGTGTGTACCAGAGTTAGTCCTTGTACCGTTGTAGGAATTGAGACTCCAGTGCAATTTTGCTACCGGGACTGTAGCTTCACATAATTGTCATGCTTCTGGTAGTGACTCGGTGTCAATCTAGTATAGTCCCGCGGGTTACAGTGTGTCTGACAAAAACAATGTTATCACAACATTAAAATATCTAACATGATTATCTGGAGAGAGAGGCAGACTGTTTGCATGAGAGCAAAGTCAAAGTTGTGGACGTCCCATGAGAGGGCCGTATGAGCTGAGGCCGAACTACGTATAGTATCGGGAGATGGCTGTCGTAACAGAGGCTCGTAAAGAGATTACCTGTGCGAGAACAGAGTCTGAGGCCGAATTACATATAACTCGGGAGATGGCTGTCGTAGCAGAGGCTTACAAGGTTATTACTTGTGCAAGAGCAAGTTTGAGGCTGAGTTACGTATAACTCGGAAGATGGCTGTCGAAGCAGAGACTTACAAGGTGACTACTTGCGTGAGAGCAAAGTTATAGGTCGAGTTACGTAAACTCGGGAGATGGCTGTCGTAGCATAGGCTTGCAAGGTGATTACTTGCGCAAGAGCAGAGTCATAAGTCGAGCTATGTATAATTTGGGAGATGGCTGTCGTAGTAGAGACTTACTAGTTGACTACTTGCACGACAGCAGAGTCATAGGCCGAGCTACGTATAACTCGGGAGATGACTATCGTGGCAGAGACTTACTAGGTGATTACTTGCGCGAGGGTAGAGTCATAGTTACAATCATTCCACGAGAAGGCCGTAGGAGCTGAGGTTGAGTTACGTATAGTCTCGGGAAATGGCTGTCGTGACAAAGGCTCATTCCATTGAGATGGAGATCAGAAGGCCGCTGAGGAGCTGGATGTCTGAGGTGCTGGGCACCTGAGGCTAGGTGTCTGGTGTTGGGCGCTTGCCACTCCATTGAGATGGAGATGAGGAGGTCGCTGAGGAGCTGTGCGCCTGAGGTGTTGGGCGCCAGCTTCTGAGTGGCTGGGCATAGACGTCGAGGGGCTCTGGGTGCTACTGGGCACAAACACTGAGGGGCGATGGGCGCCTGCTGGACGCTGGGCGCAGAGATGTCCTTCTAGGGTGGCGTGCAGAAGGCGGGCGACAGTCAGCTAAGGCAATGCCAACCTGGGAGCTGACCTGGGCAATACTATCCTGGGAGCTGGCCTGGGTAATACCAGCTTGAGTGTTGGCCTGGAGTATACCTGTTTGGGCGCTGGCCTGGGCGAGGTCTCGGGTCGTTTGGGTGACACCTCGGGTAATACAGAGAAGTAGTTAGGCAGTGACTTGATTCTGGCTTTGTCCCACATGTGGCACCAAAGGTAGACGATGACAGAGAAAGCCTTGATGATGAATTTTGTCTTTTTGTCTACTTTGTTGTTAGGTCATGTTTTGAATTTTGTAAGCTATTTGTAAATTTTAGGAAAACAAGACAATTTTAGATATAATAATCTTCGTAGAATTTTATTTCATAAAATAATAAATAACAAAATAAATAACTGAAACAATAAATGATAGATAAAATATTCTGGTGTTGGGCGTCCATAGTTGGGCCGAGGTTTTCTTGGCAGAGTTTGAGTCAACTCCTCCTAGCCCTCAAGAGATCGTCTGGATTTCTCCGAGGGGTTGCTGGCATTCTCTATCGGCTTGGTCCCCGACTAGGTGGTGGGGCTTATCCTCTGCCAACAACGTACTACCTCAACTGGCCACGTTGTATAAGCTCCTCGATCTGCCTTTTAAGAACAAAACAGTCGTCAGTATCATGGTCATGGTCGCGGTGGAAGCGATAGTACTTGTTTGAACTCCTCCGGTTTAGGGCGGTCTTCATCTTTTTTGGCTAGCGTACTGTAGGGTCATCCTGTATTTGGAACAGAATATGTTCCACGGAAGCATTGAGTGGCGTGAAGGCTTGCCGCTCTCTTAAAAGTGGGGGACCAAGGTAGTCCTTAACAGAGATTCTCTCTGTCCTATTCTTTTTGTTCTCTGCTTCCCACTTGTCTTCACGGTTGTACTTCATCTTCTCTTGTTCTCTTAAGGACTCACCTCGACGAGCCTTGGTGACGTCCTCAACATTTATGTACTTCTGTGCCCTTGACAGTAGCTCGGACATGCTAGAGGGCTGCTTCTTGAGGACAGAGAACATGAAACTGGAGGAGTGAAGATCAACGATAAAGGTGGCTAGGGCTACCTTATCATCTTGCTCCTCAATCTGAAGAGCCTCCTCGTTGAAACGGGCGAGGTAGTCTATGAGGCTCTCATGCCTGTCTTGTTTGATGGTGAGCAGGTGAGTCACTGGTTTCTGATGTCGGCGTCCCCTAATGAAGTGAGAGATGAAGGACCTATTTAGTTTCGTGAGGGAGTGGATGGAGGAGGTTTAATCTTTGCGAACCATTGGCGGGTAGACCCCTTCAAGGTGGTAGGAAAAGTCCTACACATAATCTCCTTAGGCACGTTATGGAGTTGCATGAGAGATTTATGTGTCCAAATGGTTGAGGGGGTCTCTGGTACCGTTGAAGATCTCGATGGTGGACATCTTGAACTTCGAGGGTAAGGGATAATTGATTATATTAGCTACAAAAGGTGCATCGGTATGTCTTACCAAGTAGTCCACCGTTTCGGGTGCCTATGCCTTAATGGCATTGAGGGTGTCACCAAGTTGACTTTGTACCTCTCTAATATTTTTGTCCCATTGGTTGGGGATATCCTTTGTTGGGTGATTGTACTAACTTCCGTGGTCACCATATTGGCTCTCTCCTTCGTCCTCCTGCACAGATACATGAAGAGGGGGAACACGTGAGCTCCCTGTATGCTGAGGAGGGACTGTTGGACGAGGGGTGTCCTGGCGTGGTCCTGGGGCGTTCTAGTGAGGGGCCCCATGGTAAGGGGCTGCCTGACGCCCAAAAAGAGGGATGGGTTGCTACTCCTCTCCTATTGGAGGGAGTGGGGCTCCTCCTACGGGGTGAGGGACGATGGTTCCCTGGGCGAGCATCAACTGTATGATCTGTTGGTTCTGTTTTACCGGTAGCTGCATAGTCTATAAGAGCTGTTGTTTTTGCCCGACGACAGAAGTTACGGCAGCGAATGGTTCTGAGGGTGTGAGGGGAGGCAGAGCCTCCTCCCAGTGGGCCGGGTTGTTGTCTCCCGATTGTTGATTCATTGATCTGGTAGTGATTTTCATGGATTGAAAGAGAGTAGAAAACTAGTCGTTTCCCACAGACGACACCAAATTGATGATGCACAAATTTGTATTGCATAAGACCAACAGTCGAGTATTTGTAAGGGTGTAATTAATGAGCAATAAACAGGTAATTAATGGTAAAATAATGAATAATAGCAAACACACTGATTTATAGTGGTTCGGTTCGGGTGACCTACTCCCCTCTCGGGAACGGCAGTGGTGGCTGGAGATCTTTATTGATAAATAAAAATCACCGGGAGAGTGTACTCCGGGTGAATTACAATACCTTGAGAGAGAGACTTGATGTGTAGAGAGGTGTGTGTGATATAAAGGTCTCAAGGTCATAAAGTGATGCCCTCTATGTGGAGAGGGCTTACATTATATAGGTTTAGTAAGGCGGTGAGGTAAGGGAGAGGACTTCTACTATTTTAGTAAGTACGAATAAGGTAAGATTAGATCTCCGAGCGTATCCCGATATTCTCTCTCTCGTGCTCCTATTCGGTCGGAGGAAGATTCTGAACTGGGTTGGACTTGAGTTGGAGTGACAAAGAGAAGAGGGCTAAGGGGAGACAGGAGGACCAACACCTGGGTGGCGCCCAGGCCTTGGGCAGCGCCCCTTGGGTGTCCCCTTAGGCGGCGCCCCTTGATGACTTGGGCTTTTCCTTTCAGGCTCTGGTGATGTGGGCCCTTCTTAATTCATTGGATCTGACCTAGTTGATTTTGGGCTCATCATGTTCTTTAAAATTGGATTGGACAAATAATTTATTTGCGTTTTTGGTATGCGAGGTGTGTATTGTTTGGGATGTTTGCTTCTTGGTTTCATACTCTTTGGTGAATTGAATGGTCCATTACATGTTGAAAAACAAAAAAAAAAATGTGCATTACTTAGAACCATTAGTTGTCTACTAATGGGTCGTACTGTTGTATTAAAATCTTACACTTCTGATTTAAACAATTTTTTTGAGCACCAACAATCCTGTTCTACACAACGAATTTGTTGAATCTTGTGTAGGTTACACATTCACCAGAAGGAATGGATACACTACGGTATTTCCTGTTTGATGTTTGTGGAGTCACTGCTGGCTGGAAGATGGAAGACATAGTAGATGAAGAAATCAAAGTAATCAAAGGCATGGTGGGGCCTGAAGATCATGTCATTTGTGCACTGTCTGGGGGTGTGGATTCCACAGTGGCAGCCACTCTTGTTCACAAGGCCATTGGAGATAGGCTTCATTGTGTTTTTGTTGATAATGGTTTGTTGAGGTGAGTTTGCAGACAGCCACTCTTTAACCATAAAAACAAAAGAACAAATTGTGTTTTGAAGTCTGTAGAAATTAAGGCCCCCCCCCCCCCCCGGCGAAAAGTATGTTATTTTTTATGCATGCCCAACACTCGCATTATCTATATCTTCTTTTGTTATTGTCGGAGTCATTTGGATTATGCTTATGGTTTTTGTTTCTTTGCAGGTACAAGGAGAGAGAACGGGTAATGGAAACCTTTGAAAGGGATCTCCATTTACCTATTACTTGTGTTGATGCTACAGAGCAATTTCTTAGCAAGTTGAAAGGTGTGGTAGATCCAGAGATGAAGAGGAAAATAATTGGAAACGAGTTCATCCGCATTTTTGATGCTTTTGCCCAAGATTTGGAGCAAATATTGGGGAAGAGACCTGCTTATTTAGTTCAAGGAACATTATATCCGGACGTGATTGAATCATGCCCGCCACCTGGGAGTGGAAGAACCCACTCCCACACGATCAAGAGTCATCATAATGTTGGAGGGCTTCCCAAGGACATGAAATTGAAGCTTATTGAACCACTTAAACTACTATTTAAGGACGAGGTATCTAATTATAGTCCCTTGCAAGTTTAGTTACCCCACTATTTTTATGGTATAAATAGACACCCATCTGTATTATATACTTATCTTCAAAATTTTAAATGGGTTGTACTCATATTTTCTATTGCTTTTTGTTACTTGTTGGAAGGTTCGGGAATTCGGAAGGATATTGGATGTTCCAGTGACATTCCTAAATCGTCACCCGTTCCCCGGGCCTGGTCTTGCTGTGCGGGTTTTGGGCGATGTTACTGAAGGGAATGCCTTGGATATCCTTCGCCAGGTATATGGAGTACTTTTGTATTTTTTTTTTTGTTGCATGACATACACCTTGGTTCTCCTTTGAGGGTATGTTTCTTCTGCCTATATTTCAGGTGGATGAGATCTTCATTCAATCAATCAAGGATGCTGGGATTTATGATTCTATATGGCAAGCTTTCGCGGTGTTTTTGCCAATAAGATCAGTTGGGGTTCAAGGAGATCAAAGAACACATTCTCATGTTGTTGCACTTAGAGCCGTCACAAGTCAAGATGGAATGACTGCAGACTGGTGAGCATTTTTCTTACTGTCTTTTCTTTATTTACTTTCATATATTCAGTTTTTGCTTCCCTTCTAAACGAGCATCTAGATGTTTTGTGAGCGAGTGCGTATGTGCGAGAAATTTGAGTATCTCTATTTTTTGTGTTAATCTAGCTATCAAATTTATGCACTTGGTTTGATAGAGTTCCTCTAGCTTTCATTAGTTGTAAGGATTTCATTCTAAGCTATCAGCTTGCTTAACATGAGTAACATGTTACTTAGAACTATTACCCTTCCTAAAGGGGACTGATGTTTTGCATAGGGGATTCTTGGTTGCTATGCTGGATAAACTAAACTATTGTCGGAGTTTGGCATGCTAACAACTGATCATTTTTTCTTTAATACTTTCTTTTGCGCTTAATTTTGAATAGATGCTTTTAGATTAATTGTTTGTTTATATGATTTTGGCTCTGGAAAGTATGGCATTCTGTCCAAATAGATTATCCCTATTCATCTTTTCATGAAGTACTTGGTAATTTCTTATTGTAATTTTGTTTTACTCCTTTATTGCAAAATTTCAGGTACAATTTTGAGCACAAGTTCCTCGATGATGTCGCAAGAAAGATTTGCAATAGTGTTCGTGGCATAAACCGTGTTGTTCAGGACATTACATCGAAGCCTCCATCAACAATTGAGTGGGAATAATTTTTTTGTAGAATGCTTCTAGCATGGTGAAAATGAGTAAGGTCTCTTATGGCTGGCTGTATACAAAAGTTGGTCCTGCTTACATAATGTCATTTTTAGTGAGGTCAGGGCAATTAGTTCGGGAAATTTACGGTGTTATAAAATATTGATAATGATTCACTGCATGTAAAATGCTTTTATCTATTTATGAAAATTTTGAGGATAAAATTTTCACTTCTCCTTCAGAGTGAGTAATTTTGGTTCGTGAATCTACACATTTTTGTTTTCATATATCGTCAATACTCAATAGCACCTCACCAAGTCTTTTTTTAGGAGTGCTAATTACCAGCAATTTCTGTTAGTGGCATTTATAGCGGTGATATGCTATTTTGGTATGTGGTCTCCCCTATAATGTTCATTTTAGTTCAATTTATTGTGAATCTAACTTTTAATCTCTCTCTCTCTTCCCTGGTCAGTTGTGGTTGCTATGGTGGTGCTAAGATCTTCATTCTGTTTTTACTGAAAGTTTTACTTCTAACAGATCATTAAAATGTTGCAAGTATCTTTCATCATTGCCAATCAGTGTGGAACATACTAGGCAAACCTTAACTAGAGTTCAACTCATCACATATCATGCTGCCTCTACTTCTCTTTAAACCTACCTGTATAAACAACTACCTATTCAAAGAATTCAACTTAGGTAGAAAACTATCTCAGTTCCCCATCTGATAATGTCTGGTTCTTGTACAAACTGTTAAAATTAGATTTCTCGACCATTTCAAGTTTCTTCTCTATCTTTTCTAGTATACCATCCACAGTGTCTCCGATGATCTTTTGAGCAGAGTATGTTTATATTCAAGGAATATTTTTAGATTGCCTACAGACTCCAAACTCAAGCTAGCCCATTGTCATCCACACTAACCTGGTAAACCCCCCATTTTATGCCCTCTCCTTTCTTTGAAAGTCTGAGAGTTTCTGGACTAGATTTCTTTGCTTTTGCAAAAGTTCTACCGATGCAGTGCAGTATTTGATAAACAAAATTCCAAATTGTGATGACATATTTATGGTTCTTAAATTTAGTTTTATTTCGTTTATGTTAACCTTTTTGTTTGTTCCATCCTAGTGAGATATCGCAAGAGTATGGAAACAAGATACTGGAGTTATCGAAGAGAATCATAGAGGCAATGTTGATTAGTTTAGGAGAAGGTCATGAGAAGATTTGTGGGTCTCAATTCAGTAAGTTCCTTGAATATTTAAGGATGGTTAAACAGCCTAACACCAGAGACTGGATGATTAAGATCGTTTGAACACCGTTGTCTGAACAACCGGAGGGAGTTGTGGGGGAAGGGAACTTGAGGATTTACAAGCCATTTTCCTGATTGGATTATTTGAAATTCAGAGAGAGAGTAATGAGGGAAGGCAAATTTGAGAGAGTTGGCTATACTGTTAAAGATTTCACAGGATTAAAACCTTGATAGAGTGATCAGCAGCACTTAGAATTGCATTTTTTTTTTTACTGCTACTTAACCATATAATTACTGATATGTTTACTGCTTTATTGATGGTCTATGCTGTGGTTGATTTAACATTGAAAAACAGGGCATTGTTGGATGCAAATGTTCTTCAGTGATGGGATTGTATGCTGGAGTTCTGATTTCCAAGTGACTATCAATGAGTTTAGCAACAGGGAGGTGGTGCGAGTTAGGATGTGAGACATTGGGTTTGGGCTTCAAATGTGCTCTTTTTAAGCCAAGCCGAACCTGACAAGATACGAATACCACTTCGAATTTTGTTTTTGTCAGTTCAGTTGGTAAACGGATAGATAGACCCATTAAATCTATTATATGAATGGGTTAACATGAATTTGACAAAAACTACTATAATTGTGTACGAACTTAGTCATACACAATTATAAATTCAATGACCAAAAAAATATAAGATTATAAATTTTGTTGGGTATAAGTTGAGTAAACATTAATGATTTCAAGCGCCAATTACCATGGGTTATAATGTTTTTTAACCGTCTTTGTCACGATTATTACAGAGTTCAATTCAACTTTTTTGGCTAATGTAAGTCTGTGTAACGTGCATTGGATGTAGAGGCCCCTCTTTCTCTCTCTCTTTCTTACTTTCTCCGCTTTACTTCATTGCTTTGGAAAGAAAAGGGTGGAAGATATTATTGTATTTTGCTTGTTTTCAGACCCACTTTAGAAGGTGAGGATCCTCTAAAATTAACAGTATAGATGTTGACTATTAAAATGCCGTTTTGTTAAAAAATAATATTATTGGGATCTAATTTTTATTAACATAATTCACTGCGATTTTTGAATTGACTGTAAAAGAGCCGAATACCACTTTGGAATCATTATTCGGGCCAAGAAACAATTTTAACCGGGTCCATTTATAGATTTCATTGTCAATTGTGTCTGGTGTTTAGAAAGATTTTAACCGAGTCCACATTGGAGATTTCATTGGCCAATGAGTCTATTGCTGCTTTCAGTGATAGGTCAACTGCGATTCAACTCAACTCAATTTATAAATGCTTCAACCCGAACATCTCTATTTCTCAAGCATAACACATTTTTGAACTAAGATTGTACTTGGATTACACAATTCGAATTAAAATTTGAGTTCAAGTTGAATTGAAGTCAAATTTGAATTATATAACTTAGACTAGGATTTGGCTCGAGTTTGAATTTATTAACTTTGGATAGACAAACTCAAGTTGCACACTTGTAGTTTTGATTGTCATCCAACTTTTTCTAGAAAATTTGTTCAAGGAGGAGACTGAATAGACCTGAATCTTTGAAATGCATTCATAAAAAGAGATGATTCAGAATTTTTTTCTGTAGTGAAAGTGACAGGTGAAAGAAAATACATGGGCATGACGACAATTCAATTGATTAACAAGACAACAAAAAGGGTTTCCTTTCATTTCAATGCCCGTCACTGAAATTGGATGCCTTATCTTCGAAAAAAAGTTGCCCCTCTCTCCACATCTGTTCTTTGTTTCATCATTTCTTTTTGTCACTCCTTTTCAGACATGGCTAATGGGTGGCACAGGTTTACCACCATTAGGTAAGTGAATCCATAAATATTCAAGGGTGGTGAATGTGATGCCACACTTGATAAAAAAAACATTTTAGTACACAAATATCTTGAGAAACATAACATTAATCTTTTACTTTTTTTTCTCAAAACACTAATGCAATATAGATAAGAAAAATCGGTAAAATAAAGTACTACCATTCTAATCTTTGGCCCGGTTTAAAATGACTCAAATTCTTTCTTCTAAATTATAACTTACAATTAAGTTATCAATTGTTAGTTTAGTACAATTTAAGCGTACAAGTAGTGAGCAGAGGATAACTTACTATGCCTATAATCTGCAAACAATCCAAGAGATGTACTTGGCTGTTACTACAACTTATGGTAAGTTTATTTCCCAAAATAAAATAAAATAAAATAATTGGTCTGAAACAAAACAACTCAAGTTCCCATTGCTTTCACATTCATATCAGAAAAGGACAATAAAGGATCAAAATGGTCCCTGCCTTTATCATTAAACCGAGCGGTTAGACTACAGTACCGTTGGTAGTTAATATCAAGCCCCACCATTTAAATCCAATTACTGCCATTAAAATTAAAAGTCTAGCTTCTCAATTCAAAAAATGCAAGAAATGACTAGAGGTTAGCATGCATGGTATCCCACACCTGAAGCTAAAGCTTGGGGTACCAAACATTCCTTTGCATAAAGTATTCATAATCATACTTTCCACAAAAATAAGATAGCATCATCATGTAAAGTAAAATTATGTACATCTAACCGTCTATAGACTCCAAAATAGTGAAAATCACAAGTATTTGAGATGCCCACTTATAATCATGCCTTTCTCTTTCTATCTCTTGCATAGTTGTCACACGCGGGACACGACCAACTTTAATCTGCCACACCCCCTTTTTCTTCACTATTATTAGAACTTGTGCATAACATTCTGTGGGGTAATGATTCCTGGTTGATAAATTAGAATGATCTATATGATGAATTCATTCTTAGAAAAGAAGTAGCTTAAATGCTGTTTGAAAATCTTTTTTAAGTTGCTTTAGGAAACCCCCTTTCTGAAAGAAACACTCTACCGTGAACCAAGTCACAGTCAATTTGCATTCTATGTGCAAGGGCAAATTCAGTCATGGGATTGATCATACTTCCATTTATTGGATTGCACTGCTGAAAGAAAAATTCCGCAAGGCCAGGGCTAGTGTTTCTGACTGTGGGAGATCTACAACAGTGTTACAAAATACACCATTTTACAGTAGTTGAAACTACTAATTGAAGGGACTCAAAGAACCAACAATTTTACCCTGAAGAATTATCTTCAACACCTCTGAATAATTCTCTGAAGCACTTGTTGGATCATCCCAGCCGAGGTAAGTGCTGATCCTGTCAACTGCAATTAACATGAATTGCTGTTAAGAGTGATTCACGATCTTGTCAAGAAATGCTTTGCAGTAAAGAGTTTAATGTACAAATTTCATTTTAAATGGACATGCCAATGGCACTTTTGAACTAAAGTGCAGATACATGTCTCTTTGTTTTGAGTAGACATCCTGACGAGCCATGCCACTTCTTATGGCTATCGTGAAATGACTTGTGTTTGTACAGATTACTCAGAAGTAATGGACAAATAACTAGTAAACCTCTTTTGCTGTACTTGGCAGCTTGGAATTCATGCTTTGGAATTGGGATTGGAATCAAATTATGAACTTGCATAATCTGCAATCCCAATTCCATGGTGCGAATTCTGTGTTACCAAGCATAGCTTTTGGGTAATCATGAGTCCGAACCTTTGATCTAATTGTCAAAGAGAGAATCCCATCCACAGTTGAAGATTGAACTGTGTGAGAATCCAAATGAAGATTGCTCACTGCATCCATGATTTCAAGCAATAGAGACTCCCTCCAAGTACACCTCATCTCTATCAGAACATACTTCTTGGTAACACTGACGGTAACATCATCATCATTTTGACTATCACTCCATAGAACTCCATTGTTTTCAGGCTCCATTTCATCAATATCGCAAGCTTTCCTCTTGTTTATCAATGTCTTCTTCTTGTTACAGAATTTGTTGTTTCCATAATTATCAGATGTTCTCTCTACAGAATCACCACGAGGTTTTCCTCTTGTTCTTGCTTCGAGTGCTTCCACCTCCTTGCAAGATTCCAACTTTTCAACCCTTCTCTCAAGCTCTTTCAAGTACTTAATCGTGTCATCAAGTATCGATACTTTGTCAAACTGCATTCATATGAAAACAAAAGTGGCAAAAATATTTGTAAATGCCTTCAAAGTACACCCCAATAACAGATGGGAAGAGAGGTAAATTACCTTGCTTGTGGTTGGGACCAATGAACCAAGAAGCAAAAATCTTTTGTTCATTTTTTCCCTTTGCCTCCTCGCTAACAACGCGTGGTTGGTATCAATTTCATCGGCCTCTGGTCTCCACAGTCCATCTCTTTGGCCTTTGTCTTCTCTAGACTTGATCAAGCAATCACCATGCATTTGAGCAACTTCAAAAAGTACCTTCTTTAATAATTTTTGTGGAGTTCCTCTTTGAGGGATCTGAATACTTGATATTTCCTTATTCCAACAAACAAAACTAGATTCTTTATTGCTGTTTTGAAAGCAGGGTCCCAAAATTAGCTGGTGAGAGCTCTTCAAAAGAGATGAAAGAACACTTTGATAGTGGATTTCATCGCTTCGAAAACCAAATGAGGTTATTTTTGCCTGATTACACTCTTGGGCATCATGCTGACAATCATCCTTTACCTTCTCTCCATTTGATAGAGGAACATCCTTTTCAGGATTTACAAAGGTTTGTGATATACAGTCACTGGAATTCATGGAATTGTGGACACAATTACTGAGTCCATCATCCATCAGTTGCCAACTCTGTACTTGAGAAGCTCCTCCATTTGTGCCTTCAACCATGTATGATTCCTCGGTCTGCAGATTGGGTAGAAACCCATTTGAACTATTATTGGCAGAACAAATGTGTAATTCTTGGCATTCTACCACTGGATTAGTAGTTGCATCAAGAATATCGTTGTCTACCTTGGCAGAAGCAAAGTCTTTTTTCGTTCTTGCATTTGCTGGAACATACTCAGGTATCATGGACAGAATTGGATAGGGCGTTTGAAAGAAGGAAGCCTTTATGTGCTGAACAAGATTGGGTTCCTCCAAAACCTTCAGCAGACATATTACAGCAATTAACATGGCTCGTGAATAGAATGTAATGAATTAAAGCAAACTCAAGATGATTGAGTTTAAGAGTGAAGCTGAAGCTAATTTACCAGCTCAGTTATGCCCAGCTCAATTACACCTCCTAGATGTGGGAAGCATACCACAGTCTACAAAATAATAGAGCTAGTAAGCTACAAGGACAATATTTCTCTAAGTGTAACGAACATGTAACAGAGTGGAAATATTGTTTCCAGGTCCTCATACAAATAATGGTTTTGAGAGTTTGGAGTATTATAGAATCAGGAAAACATAAAGTGCAGTACCTGAATTGAGGCACTCTGAAAAATGCATGGGAAGTCCAGCAAATAGAAAAGAACAAAAGGGGAAAAGAAATTAGTTCTAAAAAATTGAGCAAACTAACAACATTACAAAAATAAGGTCTTAACCAGACTTAGATTAGATTTGAGCCAAGAAATATCTGCTTACCTTTGCTAGCAGTGACCGGCTGAACACTTTGCTATCTGCATAGTGAGCATTGCATAGCCATATGGTTTGATTATTAGCTAATGCTCTTCCTGGCAATCTGAGGAACAATTTCCAAGAATAATAAATACTTAAGTTTAAATCACTTAATCCAAACAAAAAGCAATGTAATATTTCAGCATTAAATATGACTCATTCTCATTTACCCAAAAAAGAAACGAGAGAAAAAGAGAGGACTCATTGGTCCCAACATTGAAATTACTAATTTATGAGCACCTGCAAAACACCAAATAATAGGAGACAACAGCCATATGAATCCATTTCTAATTCAAGGTACCATGCACTTCCTGTCCTTTTCGTATTAATGATGATTTAACAGTGCACCAACATTACAAATTTAGAATGCAGAGGAACTTCTTTTCATGAAAATATTCTTTTGATTTGGCAAAAAGATGGCTGTGTTGCTCTACATCATGATATGCTGCTTTTAGTGAAGAATCACCTAAAACAATACCGTATGAAGCCTAGATCTCAATTTGAAACTGGATTGGATTTTGCAGTTTTTTCATCTTCAACATAAGCAAAAATAATTTGAATGGACTGAATTAAGAGCATAGGCAAACAAAACTGAGGAAAAAAGGTTACCCTTGGTCAATGTTGAACACGAACGACATGCAAACCAAGAAATACCACTCTGTATCCGTAAGATCTTCAGGAGACAATGCAGCCGACGGCCTTTTAGCTTGTGGATTGGATTCACTAGCCAAGAGCGATTCATAAAGTTCTCTCAGTTGCTCACTCCTCTGCAATCCGAGTTGATCAGCATTTGTTTCTGTGGATTGAACTGTCTTCCTTGTCTTAATATCTCCATTGTAATACCCATCACCCCATTCCAATATCCTACCAAATACCATTCACACATGAATGCAGATTTAAACATATACATATATACAGGAATAAATCAAGTCAAGAAAAAAAGACGAAATCAACATTCAAAGGAATCTCCTTTGGAGCAGATTAAGGAAGAAAGTATAAAAGAACTAGCAGGACACTGGTTACTTGATTGACCCTGAACTGGTTAACAATGAATAGAAATGAAGCCTATATGAAGCTCAATGGCATAATCTTCTGAATGTTAAAGCAAATCAAGCATTAATATGAAACAGTAAACTTGAAATAAAAAAAAAAAAAAAAAAAAAAAAAAAAAGCTAGCTAGAACTAGCAGGACACTGGTTAATTGATTGACCATGAACTGGTTAACAATGAATAGAAATGAAGCTCAATGGCATAATCTTCTGAATGTTAAAGCAAATCATGCATCAATAAGCTTGAAATAAAAAAAATAAAAAAAATTCCCTTTTAACCCAGAATATTCCCTAGAACCAGAAAATTTCTGCAGACCCAGTAGTAGTAGATTTAATTCAGAGACTTAGCTCATCAAAATAAAGATAACATAACTGAGAATCCCAGAACTTATGTTCTTCAAAAAAGGCAAAAAAAATGAAGTTGAAAGAGTAGAATTGAAATATTCAGTACCCTGGTTGTGTAGATGAAATGGACCAAAAGATTGCATAGCTCCATTGAATGCTTCTAACACCAAGAGCAAGCTGTCTCCTTAGGTTTTCTGACACTCCGTCCTGGTTTAGCTGCCCAGTAGCCATACTCTCCTTCTTTAGAGTTCACTTTTCTCTACACTCATGCATATGAAACTATGTAAGAACCCTACCCATCAAAACTCCATCAATACAAGATGCAAAAGTTTTGGGAAAAATACCAGAGCCAAAGATTTCCAAATAGGGCACTTGTTTGTCCTGATTTCTTGATGCTTTGGACGTTGATCCTGATTTCACCAAGCATGCTCATTCATTCCTTTTGAAAACCAACTGACCATAGCTGAAAATTACTTAGTTATGGGCCCTCAGCTTAGAGTGCTACAGCTGAATTTGACCTTTTCTTGAGGATGGTTTGGTGGAGTTAGTTTTGGAGCTGGAGAAGACCAGAGATGAGAAAAGGGAAGCAGGCTAGCAGCTGCTGCTCCCCAGTATACCACCACTTTGCCGAAAAAGGGAAGTGTGGATTCATATGCTAGTTACCCCATCCATAAAAAAAAATTACACTTCAATGCAGTGGGATTATTACGAAATAAAATTGTTTGATATCGATATTTTTTTTTTTGACTTATCTCGATTGAGTTGTAATTGATATTTTAAAATTTTAAATAAATTTTAGACTTTTTTGTAATTTGTATCATGAAAGATTTAAATTTTTTTATTTTATATTCTCAAAGATTAAAATTTTCATATTTTACCCTTAATATATCAAAAAAATATTATAATGTGATACTTTCACTATTTTTTTTTGTCAAAAATCAACCATCCTATTGACGAATTAATTAAAAACAAACTAATATAAGATTATCTGTAATATTTTTGATACATTGAAAGTGTAATGTGACAATTTAATTTTTAAGGGTATAAAATAAATATTTTTACGGTACAAAGTAAAATTTACCCTAAAGTTTAATTAACTTATATTTAATTGTAAATTTTAACATTCTATCAATCTCAGAAATATAATCACTCCCTATATATACATTAATAATAGGGTTAATTACACTATAGGTCTCTAAAGTATAGAGTTTATCTTATTTTGGTCCCTAATGTTTCAATTGTATCATTTTAGTCCCTGAAATACTGAATATGTTTCTATGTGGTTCCTCAAACAGAGAACGTTTAGATTGTTAATGATTTTTTATCATAAATTTATCACGTGATACTTAAATATGAAAAAAAAATTAATTTGAATAACTCTTTATCAAATTTTTACTCAAATTTTAATTAAATAATTATCTAAATTTTCCAGTTTTAATCATAAGCAATCCAAATTTTGGTTAAAAATGACTCATATTACACATTTTTTTTATCAAGAGCTACTCAAATTTTGTTTAAAAGTTATCAAAATTATTTTTTGCCAATATTTAAGTATTACATGATAAGTTTATGATAAAAAATTGATAACAATCTGAAAATTGTTTGCTTAAAAGACCATATAGAAACATATTTAATATTTCATAGACTAAAATGATACACTTGAAATATTGAAAAGTAAAATGAGACAAATTTTATATTTTGTGGACCTCCGGTGCAATTAAACCTTAATAATACTAAGAAGCACTCCCTCCAAGATCATGCATAAGCTTATAATGATATCATGTCAAACATAGGAAGATAGACTTGATTTTAAGTAGAGAGATATCTATTATCCAACAAGTATCTTACTTTTATTAAAGATGAACAGAGGAAAAAACACCCATTCCAGTACTTCTTGTTTTTCAGTGAATTTTTTTAAATTAATTTAAGTTATGATGATTGATTCAGAATTTAAGAGAATAATCAGTACAAACTTACCGTCTTTCGAACAAAAAATGAAAAAATGTGTTTTGTGGCCATAAAAAAAATGGAACACTTGGACCTACATAAAACCAAAGAGACCAGTTTTTTGAGGTGGTGAACCTCAGGTGGATGGTTCATCACATAAAAACAAAGAAAATAAAATGCTTTTCTTTTTTTCTCTTAAACACTCTTTATCATTGAACTAAAAAACAAAAAACTCAAATGGTACCCCCAAAAGCATAGGAACCATTGAATCAGTGATGTTGTACGAAAAAAATTGACAGGATTCTCTGATTTAAGAATCTTTATGCATTTGGAATAGAAAAATCTCTAGCAGCTATTTAGGTTTAAGTAAAAAAAAAAAAAAAACAGCTTTAAATTACGCTAAAATATGGCCAATGGAAACTGAAATTTTTGAGAGGGTTGAGTTGCTTTATTGGCTGGCATTTGTTCATGGTTTTCTGGGCTAAAAAAAAAAAAAAACATTTTTATGATTGTCTAGATGTTGCCACGTATGTCGTTGCAGGAAGAGAAAAGACCAAAGGGCAAAGAAAAGATTCCTTTTTAAGGACTGGTTTGATAAGATTGTGTGTGTGTATCACATGAGCTGCCGTGCAATTTGCATTTTATTATTGCGAAAATTCATCGAACAATGTGAGAATTGATTGAACAATTTTACCGCACCAATGCGCTTTAATCATGTGAGAACTGAATGACAAAATTAAAAACAAAAAATTTGACTACGGCACCAAAAAAAATCGATACTATATCTTTAAAATTTATTATTTTAAAAAGTATTTTTATAATTTTTGTGAATTATTTTATAACTAAAAAATTTATTATTTTTGTGAATATTTTTATCATTGTATGAGTGTTTTTTTTTCACATTTGTGGTAATTATTTTTACCACTTTTTTTTGGTACAAAAAAATTAGCATTTTCTGGGTATTTTACCATATTTTGGGCAATTTTATCATATTTATAGATTTTTTTTTACCACTGTTGTAATATCTATTTTTACTATTTTTTTGGGTAATACTATAGGGATAAAAAGTACATACAAATGTAATAAAAATAATCACAAATATAGTAACCAGAGTCCTGTAAAAAAAAAAATTCAATATTGTAGTCAACTCCCAAAAAAAAAAAATCAAGATTATCCTCGTTGGAAAATCTCCCTCCTAAATGTTTGTGCCTTGTGTACCACATATATCATTTTAAAAGTCCTAAAAATATCAATTTGTTCATTCAGTGTTGCTTAAATGCATTTTGTGATGAATTTTAATTCGGATAACTAACATTTCTCTTAACAATACATAAATCGTTATTAATTTAATAATAATAATAAATTAAGTTTAAATAATATTCCTCATCCAATAATGGAGTTGCTATTGCCAACTTGCATTCTGTGTTTTTTCAATTTGTGGAAGAGGTGTTTTATGAGAGTAAATTATACTTACATCCTCAGAGATTTTGATTAAATTATGCAAACTTCTCATAACAGGTTTTTTTTTATTCATACCTAATCAATTATTCTAACATAGTAAGAATCAAATAGAGAACTATAGACACGTTCAAAACTATCCGACGTGGGATAGCTCGGTCCCCACCTAGCCGGTGTAATTACCCCTATCACCATGACAGGTTAAATAAATAACATTATCTCATTGCTTTGCAATCAATGCCATTTACTAGTGCTTGATATAGCTATCCCCTATTTTGATTGAATTTGCAATTTAGGACTTGACTAAGATACCAGCCAAAAAAAAATGGCACCGTATATTTAAAATTTATTATTTTAATAGGTAATTTTACAATCCAAAAATTTATCATTTTTATGGGTAATTGTTTGGCAAAGCCTAAAATATTAAATGATTGTCACGTGTCAAAGATTTGAAGAAATGGTAGGAAGCGATCAGCCTTAACTTTGGTTTAAAATAGGAAATAACTATTTGGGAATTACAAAGTCAACTAACCGTTGATAAGAAAAAAAAACTATCATAAGAAGTGACTATGAAAAAGAGGGGGAAAAAAGAGTTAAAAAGAAACAACTCAAACCCCCTATAAGACCCACAATCAGGGTATTTTAGGAGTAGTGCTAGAATTAGTTTTTAGAAAATAGTCAGTGTTTTCATCAAATACTATTAAATCAGTTATTTTGTAACTGAAACACATTCGATTGAAATAATTAAAAAGTCTGTTTTTTATTGATTCATTATTCTGTGTGTCTATTGCTTTAAAATTCATCCAAGAAAGTTATGAAAACAATGTATTAGAACTTATTCACAAACAATCACATGACAATTGTCTGTCGATTTAAGCATTTATGTTGATCGTAACAAGTTTTGGAGCAAAAAGTAATTTATAACTTTTGTAGGTATTTTTATGATTATTATTGGTGTGTTTTACCACTGATGTAATAGTTATTTTTATCACTTTTATTTAGTATAAAAAAAATTATCACTTTTGTGAATATTTTTATCACATTTATGATTTATGTGTGTTTTTATCATTATTGTGATAATTATTTTTATAATTTTTTTGGGTATCACAACGGTCATAAAAAAATCACAATAATTATAAAAATAATCACAAATGTGATAAATTGATGTATGATACCAATTTTTTTTGGTACCATAGACAAGTTGTGCAATTTATAATTTTTTTTTTTTAGTCAGTAGTTTAGATCAAGTTGAATTTCGCCACTAACATTCATCGAAGGGGAACAAAAATGTTAGCAAACAATGCTAGTGTGAATATTTTACTCTTGGATTCTTTTGGGGTGAATATTTTATTTTCTTTTGGAGTTATCTTCCTTGGAATAGGGAATAGAAATGGTCACCACATTTTAGGGGTATATAAATGCTTCAGACAATGCTAGTGTGACAGGACTGTACAATTTGCCATTTTTATCGTTACTGCTGTTTTTAGCAAGTACCAGTAACGTGATTTTATTGCACATGCCACATGTAATAAGATCCAAAAGATTGTACAAGATTTAGATGCCACCAAAGTTTTTTTTTTTTTTTTCTTTAAAAAATACAAAGAGGTAGAACCCATTTTTCTGAAAACTTTTTGGTGTTTATAAGACACAGAATAAGGTGTCTCCGCTTAATTTTTTTTTTTTTTTTAAAAATATTAAAACATTTACTTGTTAAACTTACAATTTCATTCTTTTTCTTTTTTTAAAAAAAGATTAATTGCACTGGAGATTCCCAAAGATAGAGTTTATCTCATTTTGATCTTCAATGTTTTAATTGCATCATTTTAGTCCCTAAAATATTGAATATATTTCTGTATGATCTCTTAAGCAGACAATGTCCACATTTCTAACGATTTTTTATTATAAATTTATCACATTATACTTAAATATAGGTAAAAAAATAATTTGGATAATTTTAACCAAATTTTTACTTAAATTTTAGTTAAATACCTACCTAAATTACATAGTTTTAATCATGGACTATCCAAATTTTGGTCAAAAATGGCCTATATTACACATTTTTTGTCAAAAGTTGCCCAAATGTTGTTTAAGAGCGATTAAAATTATTTTTTGTCTATATTTAATTATATCATAATAAATTTATAATAAAAAATTATTAATAATATGAACGTCGTCGTCGGCTCGAAGGACCATTTTTTAAAAAATTTAACCCAGCAAAAAACTCTGACAAACT